GCATCTCTGACAGCACAAAGCACAGACCAGCAAATCAAGAAAACACTGGCTCTTATTTCGTTGCAATAGGAACCATTTTTCAACAAAAAAATACAGGATGTGTTACCAACTGTATAAACTAGGGCGCGTGCGCATCTCACACAAGACAATGACTTTCGACAACCTGCTTCTGACGTTTCTAATGTCAAATTTCCATACCAGTTAGCGAATTAAGAATGAGATGAATGCTGAGAGTTGATTTCATCTTTTTATGTCGGGTAATGGGCTTTATTCGCTTAGGTTGGCCTGGTTTCAGGAAATTATCGTGTGAGGATGAGTTTGATACGTGACTGAGTCAGTAGTGTGAAGGAAGGGACATTGTCATTGCAAAGCATGGAAATGGAAAGTCTACTATGGTATACTCGTAATGATGACCCAAACTTCATGTATGCCCGTGGTTCTTATTGGAAGCATGCGCTGAAAAACTTTCAGTCTTTATAAAATAACGTAGGTCTGGCGTTCAGTAGCTCTTAGTTTAATATTTGGACAACACGGAAGTGTCCCAGATATTATGACATTGACAGGAGGGTGCTACTATCTCATACTGGGCTGACAATTCCAATATTTGCCACGTTGATCAACACAGAATTCTCCCATATTATTATTTATTAACAGGAGGGTACTATCAATGCTGAGTTTTTAGTTTAGATTTTTGCCACTTGACGTTTGAGTCGTTTGACTATACATATTTCATGCATTGACAGTCTATCATCATATCATTATTCTGATTCTAATTCCATAAAGAAAACGGGACACCGTTCTCTTGATGCTGTCTGATTACGGGACCTTTGACATCTGCCCTTTGACAGTGAATTGTGTGTTGCCAGTAGAGATTTAAGTCATAATAAGGTGTTGCCTGTGGAAAATATCGTTTTTACCTTCTTAAACATAAATAATGTGGACTGTAAATTGAAATAAATATTTTTTAATACTTTTTAATAAAATTGATCAACTCGATAATATACAGCTTAATTGCGTTAGTGCTTAACATGAAATATAAGTTTAACTTTGCCAGTCGGTTTGAATTGTAACATAATATATATGTTTAATTTAATTTAAAACGATATAATTGATTAGTTTATTGTACCAGAACGATGAACTTATTTTAATTTTAATCCAGATTAATAAAGACTACACAATATTTAAAAATTACTCAATTTAGCACGGAAAACTTCAGTTTTCAATTAACTTTTAAATTTTATGTAGCCGCTTTGAAATCAATAGTTAAATAGTAATTAGTTAGCAAACTTGGGACGTCACGGATTCGTATTAGAGAATAAATGATGATATTATGATCTACTAAGTTTTATACCCTTCAAGTGTTTTATTTGCAAATAAGAGTAAGTTCCTAAGCCTTCCCTTCTGTTACGTTTAATCTATCGTTATACCAAAAGTGATTCAAATTGGCTCAGCGGTTTAGGTGTAAATAGCTAACAGACGGACAAAATTACTTTCGCATAATGTTCTTAGGATTAGACAAATTCACTTTTGTTCACACATTTTATTTTGTGATATAAGAAAGAAGTGAAATTCCCAATTAACTGCCTTATCTCATTATTTCCACGCTGCGTTATCATAACACCGCATAAAAATGCAATCGAAGTTTTATTTCAATTTCACTTTCGTTTAAGTTATTTTTTTTTACTAAAACAGAACTGAATAATCGACTGGTTTATTCATAAAACAGCCGGTACTAATGTAATCGGTTCTCTTTAGTGCTATGCTACTGGCCGCTATGGAACGTGTTTAAAATAAGTGTCAACAGTTTAGAAAAAGAACACACTCGAAAACAATTGAAAAGCGACAATAAATGATGATTTTTAATATTCGCGCCAATTTTCACGATTTATTGCACAGAAAAAAAGCGTGGAAAATTTTAATTTATTTAATTTTACTAAATTTTCGGATGGTTTACAGTGACGCATAAATATATTTGAAAACAATATTGTATTGATAAAATGTAATCGCATTACAATGTTTGAACAGTTGCAGTCGAAGTGACGTACGAAATTCTTTTTTCTTTCAGCAAGGTTCTTTTACATCATGAGACGATCAATATTTGTACAGACAGTCTGTTATTAATTTGCATATTATAATCCACTATTCAATTTAAACAAAAGACTTGCGTTCATTTGAGTTCTCTTCTACTTATTAATTTGTTATGATAAAAATATCAGAGACATGTTGGATTGATGGCCACATAGCCTGGTGGATCACGTACTACGTCATAGTCACGGGTTCGAATCCCGATGAGAGCGAATGTTAGTGTTATGAGTACAAGCATTTATTCCTTGATAATAGTCGTTTAAAAGTATGTTTATGTTTTGTTTTCTGATATGTAATAGGTAATTAGGTAATATTTACTTTGAGCCTCTACTTTTGCTTTTGGTTGAATAAGAATTGGTTTAACAATAATTAGAAAAATCTAGGCTGAGTTTCACCACCTTATTTTAACCGTAACAATAACAATAACCGGTGCTTTTTGTATGGAGTTAAACAGATTTTTGACGTTTGTCAAAGTTAAAGTAAGATGGTGTTACCCAGCCCTAGAAAGCGACATCTTAAAATTATCATCATCTTAATCTGGTAATAGAACCCTATCCCTTTGGATCGTAAAATCCAATTATCTCATTTCTAAACCACCAACCCCCTTACTAATAAAACTTACACGCTCGTTGAACAGTGTTTTAAAGTGACGTTTAGTATGGAAATGTCATTTTAAAACAGTGTTCAACAACTGTGTAACTTTTTATAAATAAGGGGGCAAAAATCTACATGCAAATTCATATAAGGTGTTTTTTCTAGGAATCTGTGTATCTAACACAGTAGGTGTGTTACTCATTCATTGTCGCATTTGCAAAAAGCCATAAAATTATCAACAGCCAAATGTGTAAAACAATGGTTTCGATTAGTCTCACCGAGCGCTTTAATTAAGGTCTATGACTAAAAAACTGAATTTCCGCAGCGGAAGAACAAAGACGACTTCCGCCAGCCATTTTGTTTGTTTCCCATCTATTGTCTATGGCTGAACGTCAGAAAGCATAGACTAAAGAGTTATGATTTATGGTGCAAGAAAGTGCAAAGACGATTCGGGTACATGAGAACAAGACTGAATTAATGTTTATAAGTAGTGAGAAAATACGAGTACATTGGCTTTATTCAAGTAGTGTTCCAAGATAATGAATCTTACCAAGCTATCATATCAATTTATCATTGACATTATAACTTCTTTTTGAAAGAAAAAGCATGGGAATCGCTCTTGATTACAGTCGCATCTAAGCGTATATGATTGTATTGAGTTTTTAATTTCCATAGTGGAAGAGATTAAAATATTTCATCCGTACTCTACTTAGTGCTTATTATTACTCGTATTTAAGTTTGTACCTACTCGACTTTATTTTACTATCGCGAAGAAGCTTACAAATAGGTAGGATATAGATTTGGAAGAAGGACAAGACAAGATGTAATGTAACTTATAATATTCCTCGAAAAACTTCCTAAATTAAAGGAATGAAATCAATTACAAGTCATCTTCATTTCTCAAGCCTGCATTTCCCAAACTGGGAACAAATTCACAAAGCAATTCTGAATGCTTTTAATGGTCGCCTTATGTCCTACGTAATAGGCTAGTTTCCTAAAAAAATTTTTTTAGTCTTAGTCTAATAGTTTTAGTTAGTTTTTGTTTAATATCAAAAAATATTGGACACATATTTTTATTTGTCAATCTAACAAATAATTACATAGTTATGGTGCGTTGAAGTTCCAACGTGCGGCACTTTTATGCAAGCATTGACGTCACGGGCCTCTTCTTATGAACTTTGGCGCGCTTTCTCTTTAAATTTTCATTAGTTTGAAAAAGTGAAAAATACGTGTAGAGTATTTTTTGATAAGTTAACTGACGGACTAATTAAAACTCTTGCTTTTTGACCCAGGAAACATCCCTACAAACTAAATGACTATCGTAGAGACGATGGCCGTTGGGACAGGAAAGTTCTCGAATGGCGACCACGGCCTGGAAGAGGTAGAGTGGGCAGGCCTCCTACTAGGTGGACCGACAATCTGGTAAAGGTCGCGGGATGAGCCTGGATGTGGGCAGCGCAGGACCGTTCATTGTGGAAAACCTTGGGGGAGCCCTTTGTCCAGCAGTGGACCTCATTTGGCTGAAACGAACGAACAAACAAACTAAATAAATACCTGTGTCCCTCTGAGTTGAATCTCCACTAGTCCACTGACTTTATAACCTGTATTATAACTTGATATTTAACCCAATCTGACTTCCTAACGGCCTACGATTAACTATTGTCTTAGCTCGTTCGCAAGCGAGTCAAGGCACACCACTAGTTCAGTAAACTATACTTATTGTCTTAATACCGACAAAGGATATTATGCATTGTTTAGTTTCGATTCAACCGAGTCTTTGTGCCTTATGTGGACCAATTATCAAATCGGTGAATGGAATATCTTAGATTCAGTAAAACTGATTAAATGTAGCTTTATTTCGTGGACAGATTTTAGGGCTATCATACAAAAATGCGTTACGAAATCTTGACATGACGTTTCACACGACGTTTGCACCATCGTATGTCGCGTATCGTATAAATCACGTCACGGCTTCGCAAGCAACGTGCTACAACGAGGGTTGAAGATGATAATTTGATAAAGAAGAACTTATGATAAGTTGACAAAACTGCTACGAAATGAGTTAAAAAAACAAAACCTTTATACATTATCCACAAGGAAGAATAAAGTAGGTTTTAAAAAAGTTAAAAATATGTCCTACCTTTGTGTATTGTCTGGAATTTTAGCTACGATGCATGCCACTACATCGTCAATAAGTACGATTTTGCATGAATTACCGCATAAAAATTTGTACTTACCATCTCTACCATTTGTTAGTTTTCCTCCCAATAACTACTGAAATCAACAAGCAACGAATACTCACCGTCCCTTTCTCTCCTCAGGAGTTGGAGCAAGAGAAACACCTGCTGAGGAGACGACTGGACACAGAACAAGGAGAATATGAGGCGCGGCTACTGGAACTGCAGAACGACATCAGAGAACTCACTGCCAAGATCGACTCACGGGACACATCGGTTAAACAGGTAAGGATATAGGTACTTTAATATTCTAAAAATTGACGCCCGGTTTCCAACAAAGCGGAGCGGAGCGGAGAAGTGTTTTGAATAACCAAATCACATCTCTTCTCCGCTCCGCACATCTCCGCTCGGCACGGCGCCGCCGCTGTCAAATTCTATAGAAAGATTCGTCCGCCCGACGACACTTCTCCGCTTTTCTCTGTTCTACTCCGCCTTGGTGAAAACCGGGCCTAAGAGTAATGATAAAAGTCGTTATTTATTGCAATTTGGTTTTTAAAAAGCACGTATACACGTCCCAGTATAGTTTTATCAGCGCCCTACCTCATCTTATGAAACTAAATTCGCTTTTGTCAGGGTTTACAATAGTATTTAATATTTATTATGCGATCGATCGCACTGTCTAGAGACAACCAGTTGTTAATATTTCAAACGGTGATTAAAACATTTTGTTATGAATCATAAAATATGTATAACAAAAGATTTATAAAAAAATATTTTACTCTACATAAACAAAAGTTTATATTGAATGTTTTCTACATATATTAGATCAAACTCAAATAAAGTTGTTGTTCAAGCAATTTCTCAGACTGCACATGAGACAAGTTATTTCGATTCGACAAAGCCGCATATCTACGCTTGATACATAATTAAAGGACGGATCTAGAAAAGAGATCACAAAATAAATACAAATACAAATCTTTTATTCAGCACTTGGGGCCCTTTCCAGGGCACATATACGCGTCCCAAATAACTTGCCCTGCCACCACTTCGGGACAACATATTGGCTGGCGCTGAGAAGAAATGGCGGAAGAAACTCAGTCACTTTTGTCAGCCTCTTTTTCAATCAAATACGTAAATACTGATACTGGAAATCGTTGGGGAAGGCCTATGTTCAGTAGTGGCTGTCCTATGGCTGAAACGATGATGATGAACAAATAATGTTAGTCTACAATTACGTTGCTTATTTGATATACCACCCAGTTTTATTAACCTCCCAACAGAAACAATGGTTGTACCCTGACCTTATAGCGGCAAATTGCTGCCGAAAATCTGTGTTTAGTGGTCGGTAATTAACATTGAAAAAGAACTTCTCAAAGTAAGTCAAGGGCAGAGTTTTTCAAACGTTATTATGCGGGCTTGATAAGATTTTCTACATGATTACTTAATGTTGGCTTATAGTTTTTTATAAGGGGCTATTTACACCTCTCGTTCCCACTGCTGCTACTCCTGTGTATCCAGGATCTATAGCTTGACCGCTGACCGCCAGTAAAAACAGTTTGGTTGACAGTCCATGTCACGCGTCATTGTCACATTGCAGATTTAAATCAATTTGACAATCGTTACGGGACTATTCCCACCTCTCGTTCCCACTGTAACTTCTGTGTAGACAGGATCTACAGCTTGACCGCTAATTAAAACCCAACCAGTGAAGGTCAAGTTTGTCTCGCAGAAAAGTTAAACTGTCATTGGACCCACAACGAAATTAATCAGAACATAAGAGGAGGAGGATGGTTTTCACTTTAGGAAACTGAGGCTTTCTTTTATAAGAATACACGAGCTAATCCACTTTATTAGTCCACTGGTTCTTTGGTTTAAGACTTGAATTAACTAGGTTCATTTTTCAATAATTAATTGTTACTTTATTGCTTGTCCCAAGTTTGGTTGAGTGTTGAGACATTGTCACTTTGCAGGCTTAAATCAATGTGATTGATTAAAAATACGATTTCGTGTTTCAGAGGTTGACTGATTTATTAGTTTTTATATTGATTTGGACATCAGTCACTACGTTTTATTTAATAGTGAACCAATTGCTATTAGTCATTATGTTATTACATTAAAGTTATTGTACTGTGACTTAATAAAAGTAGGAGGTTCTTAATTAGTATTAAAAATCCAAATTCTTTGTAAATATACGTAGGCCCTTATCAAAACACTCTTGTGGCGGAGTTTGGGGCCGACGCTGTGTAGGTTTGTAGTGGACACAACAAGAAGAAGAAGAAGATTGGGTTACGAGTGGTACTATGATAAATTCAGCTGAAGTAGGTTGAACGATTCACGTTTATCACGTTTATGTAGTTAGAGCTGTATTTTACGAAAATCAGATTTTTTGCTATTACGGTATTAAGAGTTACTAGTGTAGAAATAAACTTATTATAAATAACAATGCTTTGAGCGTTCCCGTCAACCACTCAAGCAGCTAATAAGCGCTATAACCGGGCGTTGGCCAATTATATGTTCTAAACGACATAGAAGCACGGCAAACGTTTCTCTCACTATAGTATAGTATTGACATAGTAAAAGAAAACTAGTGCTTCAGTATTGCACGTAAAGAAATGCGCATGGATTAGTGTCTCTCCTGAAAATTTTTAGCTATACAGTGAATGGAAAGGTGTAAAAGAACTCTATCTATGTATATAGCTCCTACTTATTTTTATTATTATTATTACTTACTACACCTATTTTATAGACTGTAAGTATTTCCTATAATAAATAAAAGGCTGAAAAGATACAGAGTTTCTTGCGCTACTTCTCAGCACCCGCCGATATGTGGTACTGAAATTCAGGTAGGGAAATCGAATCTGGAACCTATCAAAAAAATAACTCTACCATTGGATATTTTTTTACGTTGAATGCAAAATTGTACCATTCTTCAATAACGATGTTTACCTACTAAAGCCTACGTGCTCACGGACCAGGCTTTAGTATACATTATCATAAGGCCATTTTAGATGTCCTCTGCAGGAGGACGACTCTTCTCTTATTTACCAAAAGCAAAACTCACCAGACGGCTTGGAAAAGCCTGAAGTTCGCATATACAGGGTGGAAACGATAAGTGATCTCACTCGATTATTTTTAAACTATACAAGATATCGAAAAACTGGTTACTGATCCTGAAAGTGCTTCACGAGCTCTTTCAAACGGTAATAGGTTACAGAATTAACTGGATCTATCCGAAAATTTAATGTTTTCAGCCGCCATACTAAATGTATGCCAGCCACACAATATTAGAAGTGTATTTTTTTTTTAATAATAAACACTTAAAATGAACTAGTAAATTGCATTCTTATTTAAAATTATTCATGGAAAACATTGGCTTTAGGCTTTACTTGTATAATATTATCAAGACATGGATGCCATGACTGTGGCAGTACTAAATGTGTGGAAACTGAAAACTTTGAATTTTCGGATAGATCCAGTTTATTTTGTAACCTATTATTGGTACCGTTGGATAGACCTCGTGAAGGACTTTCAGGATCAGTAACCAGTTTTTGAATATCTTGTATAGTTTAGAAATAATCGAGTGAGATCACTTATCGTTTCCACCCTGTATATCCCTTAGGCCCAGAACAGACGGTGAAACGCAACTGCAACTTTCTGATGATTCTGATGAATGAAACTGAAACTGAAAGTTTCAAACTGGTCGCGTCATGTGTGGTCTCTCAACGGACGCTATGGCAGAAACTTAGATGCAACTCAAAAGTAACTAGCAGGTGCAGTTTCGTTGCAGTTGCGTTTCACCGTCTGTTCTGGGCCTTAGTCGCCTCTTACGACATACGGGAAGGTCCTTTTCTACTCTGCCGGAGCCGTCTCCACTCTTCACTATGGTAAATGACCTGTCCATTTGACAAATGACAACTTGTTTTGCCTTATTAAACTGTCACTGTGAAAGGAGATGCAAGACGTTTTATTAAGATCTTGTCATAATTTAAAATTAAGAATATAATTTTAAGATGAATTAAGGTTTTTGTCTTACTTTGTTGACTGAAATTGAGTGATGTGACATAATTTTATTTATTTTGTTTTATCATCCAATAAAGATGAATCACCTATCACCTAAATTGTTATTTAATGTCACTGGATTTATTGTTATTTATTTGTTGAGTGTTTTAGGAGTTGTTGTATTGATATTGATTTTTCAGCTGTAAATATGTTTTTTACCTTGAGCTAGGGTTATTGATTTTTCTCAATCTGTGTTACAAAAACACAAATTTATACAAGAGTATAATTTTAAATCCTAATAAATTTTACATTTTCTGTTTGAAGCTTGTTGAAAAAATTGCAAAGGAATAGTTGTAGTAGACAAATGATGAGTAATTAATTTGACTCTACAAAAGTTCGTTCGTTCGTTCGTTTCAGCCGAAAGACGTCCACTATGGACAAAGGCCTCCTCCCCAAGGATTTCCACTATTTATTTTATTTATTTATTTATTTAATTTAATTACAAGATTAGGCTTATAATCTAACATTTCTTAAATCACTAAACTAAACTAACAACGGTCCTGCGCCGCTCTACAAAAGTAATAGACAGTTTTCTCATACACGGATACTAGTTATGTTGATAGTAGCTTTTTACTAGGTAACAGGTATTTACACCTCACGCAACTTTCAGTTTTAACCAGTGACGCATCGCATCGCAAAGTCAAGGCCATCAGTCGTCCAATGACGTAATGACTTCGAAATATGAGCACTGTAGCGTGCTAGACACCCCATGGCAGAGCGGGGAAAACGGCCAGCTCATAACAACGTTAGCTTACCTATCCGCGATAAAAAAAATGTTGTCAATTTCAGTAAAAATGTATTTTATTTACAAAAAAAAGTATGAAAAGTTCTGGCAGAGTAGATTATTGCCACAGCTGTTTCAGCCGAATGACGTCCACTGCTGGACAAAGGCCTCCCCCAAGCATTTCCACAACGACCGGTCCGGTCCGGCATCGCGGCATCCAGGTTCAACCCGCGACCTTCACCAGATCGTCGGTCCACCTAGTGTAAGGCCTGCCAACGTTACGTCTTCCGGCCCATGGTCGCCACTCGAGAACTTTTCTGTCCCCCCAACGGCCATCGACTCCACGAGCTATGTGCCATTCCTTTTCTGAGTGTCGTATAAGGCTAAAAAAATAGACATCAGTCTTCCTCGATCTGTCTGGCCAATGTAAAGAATCTTTCATTTGCTTTCTGGTAAATTAATGAAGGTCCGTGTAGTTGAGACTTAGGCTGAGTTGCACCACCTAACTTTGACTTGTCAACGGTAAAGTAAGATGGTGCAACCCAGCCTTAATGACCTGTGCGCTTACCATGAGTTTACGTTAGGTGTGCTCGCTAGCGACTGCGTAAAAAAATGACATTAATTGTATGACACATTGTGCAGCGCCCCTAGTGGCTACTTTCAAGAAACAAAATCTTCATAGAGATTTTTGACGTACTCGCTAGCGAGCACACCTAACGTAAACTCATGGTAGGTACACTGATGATGAATCGTTAACTTTATGGAATCTGCACTACACATTATAGAAATCCGATTAATCGTAACCATGACCACAAACTGTAAGTTAATGAGAACCAATCTGTGTCAGATGCTTGTACGATGAGGATGTAGTGTCCATTTTAAATCTAGACCAAAACCAATCAACCTGAAACCAACCAACCATCGAATGTTATGATTTATTACCTTAGCTCTCCACTATTATAAACATAGTATCCTCCTTGTTAAGAGCCAATATCTCAACATGAATTGAGCGTGTTTGTAACACTATAAATGTAAAAAGAAAATTATTTAGTTTTTACAAAGGCAGAATTTACAGAGTCACAAATGAACTAAAGTAATTAACTAATTAAAATAGAAACCTTTAAGGATGCAGCCCAGAGTAAAACACGTCAACACTGCCGAAACATTTCAATGCTGTTAACATTTTAGTAATAACCCTCTTCCTCACGGAGGCGGGTTATAAAAAACTAGCAACCGCCCGCGACTTTGTACGCATGGATCCCGTTTTACCCCCTTAGGGGTGGAGTTTCGTAAAATCCTTTCTTAGCGGATGCCTACGTCATAACATCTACCTGCATGCCAAATTTCAGCCTGATCCGTCCAGTGGTTTGGGCTGTGCGTTGATAGATCACTATGTCAGTCAGTCAGTCAGTCAGTCAATCACCTTTAAGTTATGCATATATCGTCGTCGTCGTTTCAGCCGAAAGACGTCCACTGCTGGACAAAGGCCTCCCCCAAGGATTTCCACAAAGACCGGATATACATATATTTAGATAGATAATGCATATATATTTAGATAGATATCTGCTACCAAATTTTACGCAAATAAAAATGCTGATTCTCAAAATAATATTGTTAATAAATGACAGCGATTGGCCGGCTGATCTCTCTTTTCTGTGTACCAACAAAGCTTACACTTCCAGGGACAATTAGCCAATTAGCCGCACCTAAACAACTCCGAAGGATTGGCTAATCAACATCGATTTCTACTTGTTTTAATCGGCTGGCCGTTAAGATAGTGCCGTTTTGTTTGCCGATTGTAAACAATAACATTGTTTCGAATTTATGGAATTTTCTTGGCCCATTACGGCTGTGTTTAATAATTGCTTTCAATTTTGTCCATCTTGACATCATCATCATTTAAGCCATAGGACGTCCACTGCTGAACATAGGCCTCCCTCAATGCTTTCCATGTTGCCCGGTTGGTAGCGGACGGCGTCCAGCGCTTTCCTGCTACCTTTACGATGTTGTCTTGACATAATATTGCATTTTCATCGGGTTTTTGCATCAGTACCACAGCCTATTCGAGAGAAATTAAATGACAAAGACATTAACAACATACTTAGGGTACTGTAAGTTTTATAAAATGTTATAAAAATAAGGGTAATTTAGTAGAGTTTTAAGATTTGCCAACTGCTCATTTTTTTTGCGGATCCCGAGGCATAATCCGTTAACTTATTCTCATAATTAATACACAAATTAATTACCTTTTCGAGACTGATAATATAATAGTCGTGACGTGACTATGTGTCAACAGACATTTAAAAAGGCCCCTCTCTACCCCTCAATCGCCGTCCTCAAGTTCATAAAAACCCTCTCTATCCCTCAAGGTTGATAATAGAAAGTGTCAATAAAGAGTCGGACGTCGGCATCCTCCGGCCTTCCCTCCATCCTCCGACTGTTGACTGCTAATTTGACAGTTCGGACAGCGCTCAGCCAGCCGAGAAATGGCTCGGATGCGCGGGAGTTGCAACGTCATTATAGCGATGAGACGATTAACACAGTCAGTGTCAAATACTTCACGTGACCACAGATCACAGAAACTAAAGGGAAATGTGACAAGGGGGCGGGGCCGGTGTCGCAACAATTTGACCAAAAACAGAACATATTGCTGCAGACGTCATATTGTAAACAGTTTACATTGCTTGCGTACTACTAAAGATTATTCGAACGTTGAGTACTGATACCGCAGTGGATAATGAGCACATAATTATTTTGAATACTTTGTATGTGTCAATTTCTAATGCGACACTGAGTTTCGAACTCAGCGCATTAGTTGGCATCTCTCTTTATCTCTATGTTCGTGACATACAAAGTAGACAATAAGTTCGCAACACGTCTTTGTTACAATTGGAATAAGGTTGTGTTGTCGACTATGTATTTGGCCACTTTGTGTGTCACGATCACGAACTATTGCACGCTGACTGTACCTAAGTTAATGATATCCTGATAATGAGTGATATCGTTGCGGGGCAATGACAGAGCCAACCTTTCCCTTGGGACTTTTTGCTGGTGGTCAAGTTTTAGAATCCTTCCTACACGAGAGACAAGGATGGAATGAATAGGAAGGGATAGAATATGAAACAGTGTGGTTTCAGAATAACTGAATTTTCTTAAGTTCAGTAATCCGTAATACGCTGAATATGCGAAAATGACTAAAAAAAATCCCTCCGCATGCTGCTTACCAACAAGAAACATATTTAATGAAATAAAGGGTTTTTGTTCGAAACTTCGTATCCCTGATGGTGCATTATCTAATTTGTGTTTTAATATCCGAAAATGACATATTATTAATAGTTTTCATTTTACAGACGGACAGTGAATGAGCGCTGGCCTGATGTGGACTTTCCAAATTTAATATTGCCCAAGGTATATCGATCCAAATAATAATCGGTGAATAATCTCGATTATTCTGGTCTTTTAATGGTCATTATCATAACCCTCTTGTGGCAACTGTATGTCGCAAGATCCACCGTCACGGCCACTGGCGTCCTTCCAGGCTCGGATGAAACCTTTGAGCACCTTACCTCAATTCAGACTCTAAACTTAAACGACGAAGACTCATTTTCGGTTGTCAATAAGGTCTTTGTTGAAGCTGATGTTTAAGTTCTCTTGAATATGGACTCTAATAGTAAAAACTAAGATCTATTTTTGAAGAATGAAGATTCCGTTACACTTGTTAACAGGATTAACTACGCTTGGTGTTTGTTTCACGGTTCTGTCTGAACCCAACGAGTTTGTTTTGAACAACGCAATAGATTAAGTCAGGAAAAGCAAATATTGATGATGAAGTCAAGTCATTATTGGGTATTGGATGCAACTTGCTAATACGAAACCAAATGGTCACGCTTGATTAGGAATTATTCTCTGAAATACTTAGACCAATATTGGTACTTCTATAATAGACACGTGTAAAAATAATTTACAAGTCTGGTGGCAGTATAGAATAGAACCATCCTCACTCTTCCCATTGATGTCTAAAGGTAACGTAACCCTAACCTCCAATGGTTGGGTTTTTATTGACTGTCAACCTGTAGATCCTGGCTACACAGGAGTTGCAGCGGTGGGAACGAAACATGGGAATTGTCGCTCTGTAACCTGTCTAGCCAGCTTGGGGAGTATAAACCCAATCCTTCCTTTTGCCTGTGATAAAGTAGAGAGGATCATACTCCTGCAATGGAGACTAAATTACCTGTTGATGATCATAAGAGTTAGATTTTTTGTCGTTTATCTCCGACTGAGTTGCGCTACTTCTCAATACTGGTCCATTTACTGTCCCGATTCCCGAAGCAGTGGTAGGGTTAATACTGTGACGTGTAAAAGTGTTTTTTCAAAGCCTACTTGCAGAAAATAAATGAATTTTTTATGAGTCTTTATACTAATCAAACTTTTTTGTCCACAGCGCGATGAAGAAAAAGCCAGTCTGATAGCAGAACTCACAGCACAGAACTCGCGGCTCACAGCACAGCTGAAGGAGTCGTCGGCCACAGAAGCACAGCTCATGGCGCAGCTGGAAGGCCTCAAGGACCAGTGTTCGATGAGGAAGACCAGTCTCCAGGTATTTTTTTAAGAGTCCCGTTAGCCCTTAGTAAAGCGAAATAAATGCTTGTGTCACGAGTGAGCTCACCACAATAGTCGAGCGACGGCGGGGACCGAATCCGCGTTCCCCGGTTCACGAGTCGGCCAGTCTGCCTCCTTCACCGTTCGGCTATCGCCCTGGCCATTGCCACTTCAGCTTGCTAATCCGTCGATTTGGAGTAATAAAAACTTTGTGATATTGTTAGTAACTTAACTAATTGCAATAGATTACGAATTGATAACGAATTGCGACGAAAGTATACCACCAATAATTAAACTAAAAGGAACTCTATTAGGTATAGTCAAATCGCTACATTTTGACGGTCATACGTGCCAAACACTTACAAAATATTGGTCAAAACTTCATTTTTCTTTTTTCCTCCACAGGACCACGTGCAAAGCCTGGAGTCCCTCAAAGCAGAATTAGCGCTGGTTAGCGACAAGCGTGCAGAACTGGAAAGGAGGCTCACGACCTCCCTCCATGACAAGGACAACCTCATGCAGCAGCTGGACGAAGCCAATGATAGGATCACGGCGCTGGAGAGGCAGCTGAAGGAACAGGTGAGGATCTACAGCAACTACCCTGAAAAGTGCTACTAATGTAGGTCAGCGACAAGCGCGCAGAACTTGAGAGGAGGCTCACGACCTCCCTCCATGACAAGGACAACCTCATGAGGTTGCTGCATGCAGCAGCTGGACAAAGCCAATGATAGGATCACGGCGCTGGAGAGCTAAAAGAACAGGTAAGGATTATTTTTGTATATGGCCAGGTCTGGGATATATTAAAGCCACCCTACGTTTCTAAGTTAATCTTGAGTGACCCTGGCTAAAAAATTAAAAACTACTTTGGATTTTAAAAAATTGTTCTGTCAACAGCTCTGGACTAGGGGTGATTCACTGTTTGTACTCCGAAAGAATGGCGTGAAGTTGCCGATCAAATGGCGCAAAATATTTGTTATGCGCAACTTTAAGGCCCTGTAACTTCTTTATTTGTAGATATATTTTCATGATTATTTCACAAATTATTATTGGTTTTAATTATATTTTTTAAGTTTTATTAATAGAAAAAAAAATTTAACTTCTCCATTCTTCTTCTTTCTAATTGTGACTGTGTGTTCTCACAAGGACGTGTTTCGAACTTTTTGGTCACTTTGTCAGTAACTATTTGATGCTGCCTTATAACATGAAGTAAAACCATCCCACACTTTCATCATGACAGCGGCTTCACTTACAAAACTCTCAAAACAAACTTCATATCAATAACTATTACAAAACAGATCAAAATTCAGCTCACTGCTAAAGTATCTGATGGCTACATCAAGATCCTATCTCAAGTGAATGTGACTGATGATAAAATTTAACTTGAGATTGTTGCGAAATCTGAACAAGATACCAGCCCTGAAGGAAAAAGAATGGCCGGTAAATTAATATTTGAATTGAAAGGCATATCTTTGAAAGGATACATCGATGCTACTATCATACTAATTACTAATTGAAATAAATGAATGCCAGATACTGTTTAAATAAAACATAGAATTCATGACCTCCGCCTTTTTGAAGTCAAAAGTAAATAATAAACACGTAGGAGGGAGCAACGCGTAAACCATAGCGTCGCGCTCTCTCTGAAATTCAAAATGCCAAAATTAAAAAAAAAACATACTTAATAAGTACAACTACATTCAAGTGTGTATTTGTTACGGCAAAATCTATGGTCAGAAAGGTCTTAATCTATTTCTACCAAAATTCATCAAAATTGGTTTATCTTTTCGTTCCTGAAATATTAACAAATAAACAAATATTTTCTTATTATACTTAAACAGATTCATTCATTTGTGTATTCTGCTTGGGAATCAAACCAATTCCCTAACCTTGAAGGTCAAACTTTACTCGTAAACCAAATCTTTGAAGGTAACTTTTAACAGCCAATAAACTTCGTAAACAATAGAGAAACAAAAATCGTTTTAAATCTCTTAAATAATATGTAATTTAAAAGAAAACCGTCTGAATGTTGTGCTTACCCTTAAGTGACATATATATCAGAAATGTTATCTTCATAAATGTTAATCATAAGAGTATAATATATATGTTGTTGGTATGCCATATAAATAAAATAAAATAAAATAAACAAAAATAAATTAAGAGTCTCACGTAAAGAACAACACAAATGTTTTTAACTTTGATAATTTTATTGTTTTCTCATTTTATGAGTCTTTTAGGAGAAGTTAACAATGAAACCTTTCACTGGTTTGGTTAATATCCGTTTATATTATTAGAACAATAGCTGTAATTAAATGTCATTGTTCATCTTAAGGATTCCACGTTGGGCAAGCTTGGATGAATAATGATGAGGATACATTATAAACCAGGTGTTAATTTAAAAACGTGCATGCTAAAGAGGTATCTGTAGAGATAATATTCGTATAATAGGCAAATGCCTAAATAAGCATTGCTTGTCAGATCATCGGGATTTTTCTAAGGGCAAGTCGGAAAAAACTGCCTTTGTCAGTGAATTATTGTTGTGTTATTATAATACAACTTGGCCCACTTAAGTACTCAAATTAGGTAGCGGTTCTTATTGGTACTACTTCTCATATACCAATAAGTAATTTTATTGGTACAATAAGTACCTCTATCATCATTGATAGATAAATCAAGATAACACTTAAGGTACAGTCAGCCTCAAATAGTTCATGACACCCAAAGTGGCCAAAAAGTTGACAACACAACCTCAATCCAATGAGGGCTATCGTTTTAGCGCTCACCCGGCTGGTGAGCGCTAAAGTGGTAGGAGGACTATCGCATTTGCACTCATCAAGATGGCGCCACTGTAGAGTAAGGTCCTGTCAATCGCCAGGGGTGCCAACTGTTGAGTATAAAAACGATAGCCCTCATTGTAACAAAGACGTGTTGCGAACTTTTTGGCTACTTTGGGAGTCACGAACTATTTGACGCTGACTGTATGAATAGGCGTCTTTTAGGCAAGTTTCTTTGATTTCAATCAAGAATCAATTGAATATCGTACGGTAAACTCTTAACCAGCTTAGTGGATATGTAATAAGGCGTGAAGATTCCGTGTCGGTCCGTCTGGTTTTCAGTTAATCTGATTTCTCGTATAATTAAATAAAATTGTTGTAAAATGATTTACGCTCGCGGAAGTTGATTGATTTAGTTTTATAATGCGCGGAAAATAAAATATGTGAAAACTCTTTATATTGCTCAATCGTAAAATATAAGTAGATTTATGATTTAATCAATGTGATAATCCCAACTAATATTATAAATGCGAAAGTAACTCTGTCTGTCTGTCTGTCTGTCTGTCTGTCTGTCTGTCTGTCTGTCTGTCTGTCTGTTACGCTTTCCCGCTTAAACCTCGCAACCGATTTTGATGAAATTTGGCATAGAGATAGTTTGAGTCCCGGGAAAGAACATAGGATAGTTTTTATCCCGGTTTTTGAAACACGGACGCGCGCGATAAAGTTTTTCTGTGACAGACAAAATTCCACGCGGGCGAAGCCGCGGGCGGAAAGCTAGTTGTGTATAATCCTCAAATAGCACTTATTATTCAGCATTACGCAATTATATGATTTGTAAGAGCAATATATCTTCGCTTCGCGTCAATCGGGACAGGATAGTTAGCGAGGTGTCCATTGGACAGCTACAGCTTGCTACAGCAATCATTTAGACAGATAGATGGTACGCACGTCGTTAAAGTAGCATTCCAGTGTTTTAATAAGATTTAGGCGATGAAATCTATTAGAGATGTTTGGAAAGACGTTGAAATTTCTTGTTTTACGAGTATTTTAAAGATACAATGTAGCTGAGACTAGAAATACAAATCTAATTGAAAACGTTGAAGCCTTCCTTTATTGGACTTATGATTTTATTCTAATTAATGTGACAAAACATGCAATTACTTGGGTTTTCCTGTAAGCTTATTAGGTATGTTGCTAATGTAGCAGTAATGTAGCTGAAAAGATCTTGATTCAGTCATAATGTCTCAAATTCTTAAACTTCATCAAACTGAATAGGTAAAAGGACTATTTTATAGTCACAAAAAGGGCTTGGATGCGCCCTGATATACTTTATCGACGTCAAAATGTTTGGGAAAAATTTATAAAATGACGTGATACCCGCTTATCACGGCGAGCATCCATTTAGCGCCATCTGGTGACCGCAATTAAGAAGACCCTATACGAGTATTTATTTATTTATTTATAGAAACCAAAAGCGATATTTATTTTATAGAAACCTAAAGCGATACATTGAAAATGTTAGTTATAAGATTTAGACTGATAGTATAGCCAATGACAGGTTTCCCTTTTTATAAAAGTACATTGTTGTTGGAGAAAATATGAATAAAGGATGTTAAAAAAAAAATTAATTATAACAAAAACTCACAAAGAAGTATGTACGTACACTTAGTGTTAGTATGCAAATAAACTATTTAAAAAAATATATTTGAACTTAGCTAATCCTACTTTTCTTTCCAGGAACACCTTTACCACAACACACTCAAAGAACTGGAGCGTCTACAACGGTCCCACGACACATTGGCCGAGAGGATCGGGGCACCGGACCCTATAGAGACCACGGACGCCGCCCGGTCTCTTCACGCTGAGATGGAGACCGAGCCAGAAGACCAGGATGACGGCTGGCTCAGGAGCGAGGCGGTGCAAGTGTACAAACAGCTGAGGGCGTTGGCTCTACAGCTGAATACGGGACATGATGATGATTCAGGTATGTTTAGGTTTTTTTTGTTTTTATTTTATCTACAACGAGGAAGCTCTTAGCCTGTATCTCACCTGATGGTAAGTGACGATCAGGCCGAAGGCAAATTATAATAGGTGACAATGACTTTCAGGCACCTCATTTTTATCCTGAAACCATGATAACAAGTACAATTTCTTGGAATAAAACACCATTTTTACGCTGAAATCACAATTAGATATCAAATTAACTATAATTTCGATTTTTCGCTACTTTCAAAACAATACGTTACAGGAAAAATCTACTATACTGTAATTATTCAGGTGGAACTTGAACCTTATGACCTTTTACTTGCTTCATTTTCCTCGGTTGTTAATGAGGATCATTTCGATTTTTAGCTGTGAATGCAGATTTATAGGGCTAAGAAATCCTTAATACACAGTCCAAAAATTTTTGTTCTACGACAAAAATTGACGAAGTTATGGCCAAATTACTAAAAAAAGTTCACTGACCGCCCGGCGCGGGGACGATGACGTCACTATATCCGATCCGAACGCTGCCGGCGTACTGCGTGGATAGATAATATTTTTTTCTAGCCAAACTATCAGTTTTAGAGAAAAACTTGTAATGACATTTATTCATCAGAATAAAGTAAGCTATCGATAGGTAATTTTTAAAAATAGAAATTGTGAAAAATGTCGCAAAAAATCCATACGCTCATACGATTCAATGGAACGCAGACGCGATTGGGGTCTCCGCGGTGTGGTATGTTTGGCGATTTATTCAAATAAAGTGTTCATAAGTGTTGTTAGAGTCATATCTTCTTCCAAGTAAAATATAAAAATTTATTTACTTCTAACAATAAGGTATAGCTGAGGCAGATACACTCTGCCTAGGCTACAAGACATTGCTATGAAGATCATTTCGATGTACACGCAATACCTACCTGTTATTTAGTTTTTCTGAGTTAAACCTACGTACCTACCTATCTATTCGCCGTTCCCATGGGCGGGCCAGCTGCTGCAGGAAAGGACAGCTGCTCCCTCCTGGAAATCTATTTAATCTTAGCCTAGAAGCTGGGTATGACTCCCCCGCCCCTCTCCTCTCCCCCCCCAGGTCATAAGCTGAGCATGACTTCCCCCCAGGCCCGAAACTGGGTATGACGACCCCTCCCCCTCCCCCCAGGCCAGAAGCTGGGTAAGGCTTGCCCCTCCCCCCAGGCCATAAGCATAAGCTGGATATGACTCCCCTTCGNTGGGTATGACTTGACCCCCATAGGGATGTTTTTGGACCGACCGGATCCAGTGAGTAGGCGGTAAAGCAAAAAATACGCGAACGTGAACTGGGAAAGTCAAGCGCGCGCGCATATGCCAAATCGCTAGACGTGCCGCGACACTACATTGCATTTTCCTTTGCAAAAAATAAATGCTTCTTGTCTTATTGTTTCTTAGGAGTCAGATTATTTCTTAAAAAGAACTGAAGTTGAATTTATAAGTACAAATTTAAAAGACTGTTTTGTTGATTTAAGTCTGTGTAAATTATTAATAAGAGTTTAATAGTATTATTACTTAAGTACTTTCAGATACATACAGCAATAAGTGAGAGTCAGACTGATTACTAACTTTATTATTTAGAAATTTGCCCCTCCCCCCAGGCTATAAGCTGCGTATGACTTAATTGTCGCTCATCAGATAAATGGCAACCTTGTTGCTTTCTTCCACCAAAATCAGTTCACTATGACTCACTATTGCTGCTGACCTATCCACAGCCTAGCCAGTACAGACTACACAACAAACTTAACGACTGTAATACCTTAGTAATAGGTGTGATATTGCAAAAAAAAATTATACTTTAGTGTTGTAGACTATACGTGACGTTAGCGAAAATCGAAAGCGATTAATCGCGGCCTCCACATGTCAAATTTTACTGTAACCTCAATACTCGATGTACACGCAAACTGATCGATCGATTAAGCTATACTGACCTCTATTTTCTGAATAGTAGAGTTCCAAATAGTTATGTTTTGAGGTCAAATCTAGGCTGAAACGATTTTCGGCTGTGGTCGGGCGAACTAGAGCGATATTATATGGTTGGATTCGATTTTGGTGGTGTAGCGTAATAATGGCTAGAATTAATCGAAAGCTTTGTAGCAACGGTTTATTTTATTTATTAGGACAACCAACAAGACAAACACGCATACATGGAATTACTATAACAAAAAGTGCTTAGAACTAAGTGTTGTCTTAATTAAAGGCTGCCACAGCATGCAATGTGGACAGTTGCAAATTTAAAAAGTAATAAATAGAAACACAGTGACTATTTAGATATTTGCTGCCGCTGTAAGGGGCCTCAGAACAGCGCGCCTAAATTTCAATGGCTTATAACTAAGTTCATTGAAGTAAATTTTGAAGTTTAGCTTCTAAAATCACTTTAGTTCGTACCAAAACATTTACATTAAATTTCAAATCCCTTTCTTAATTTGTTTCTCTTCCAATAACTTGAAAATCGAATTGCATAAGGTGGGAATCGAACTCATAAACCTGCAGATGATAATTTGTTCTTTAGACAAGTTTTTCTATAAGGCTTTTGATACCAAAAGTAGCCTACGCCCTTTAGGCCCCTCTACGTAGATCACTCACTATATCAAAATTCGTCAAAATTAATTCAGTTATATCAACTTAACTGGCAGACAGACAGTTGCTTAAGTACGTAGAGTAGGCGCACACCGTTGATTTTTAGTTGGCCGATAGTTGTGCCCGATTTCAAATTGTATGAAGAATCGGCCAAATCGAATCGGCGTAGTGTGCGCACTCCTATACATGCCCATACTGATCAACTGCCCGACTAAACTATCGGCCGACGAAAAATCAACGGTGTGCGCCTACTCTAAGCCTTCTTCTAATAGCTACATTGAACATTGATTGAACTTTGTATACAAAGTTCGAGATGGAAGTCAGAACAAACAGCATAGCTACAATGTAACCGGCTGCGCTATAGAAACTAAGGTGTAAGGTTACGGCCACAGGTCGGGTTAGGGCTTAGCTTCCCACTATTATCTGTCTGAGTTGTCTATGCTTATTGAAACAATATAACGTGAAACAAAGATAGTCTATAGGGTGAATAAAACTTTATGTGCCAGTAACTTAAGGGATTTTACCAAAATATGAACTCTTACCCCAAGGCACGGTAATAAGCCCAAGGGCTTACCTGAATGGCGCACTAGCGCTCACTTGTTGGTGACACTGATGAGTGACAGACTCTACTCTTAGTGGCGCCATCCTGGTGAGATCAAATGCGGCAGTCTTCCTACCGCTTCAGCGCTCACAAGTTACTACTACTGTCTTAGCCACTGGCGAGTGACAGGCGCCAACTGAAGAGTTCTAATACGGTAGCACCTTCATTGAACTTTATTGGCCAATATTGCAATGAAAAATAAAAGTCACTTCTGCGAATCTACCAAAACTGACCTATCATACGGTAGCATCTTAATGCCATTCGACTTTGTTCTCAAATGTTGGCTTAGCTCGTCATATCCACTAGTGAGTTAAAGGACTCTACAGTAGCGCCAACTGGTGACCGCTCTAAAGTCATTCAACTTTGTCCACCAATATTGGCTTAAAAAGCCAGGCGTACTTCTGCGAATCTGCCAAAACTGACCGATCATACGGTTACGGGATTATTTCCATTTCTCTTTCCCTCCCACCGTTTGCAACTCCTCTTTAGCCAGGATCTACAGCTTGACCGCCATTAAAGGTAAGTTTGTCCCGAGGGAAAGTTAAACTGTCATTAGACACGCAACGAAATTAATCAGAAGAACTTAGGACGAGTTCGAAGTTAATGTTCGACTTCCAAAGTGCAAAGCGGATAACAGAAGATAAAACAAAGGTTATTACGGTAGCTCTCTTAAAGTCATTCAAGTTTGTCCACCAATATTGGCTTAAAAAGCCAGGGTTGGTGCACTTTTGCGAATCTGTCAAAACTGACCGATCATACGCTAGCCCTCTAAATGTTATTCACCTTTGTCAACCAATATTGATTTAGCAAGTCAGGGTTGACCAACCTTCTGCAAATCTGCCGAAGCTGACCGCTGATCTGAGTTGAAAGGTCGTTACCCTCGTTTGTTGTGCGGAACACTACGTTGCCAAGGCAAGGAAGGTAGTATCACGATTCGTGGAGCTGTATAAATAAGCAGCCAGTTCGCGTGACCGTTTATAGGGCAGTGCAGGGTTGCCAAAATTTGAAATAGGGAAAATTGGGAAAAAAAGGTACCACTGGGTACTAATTTGCTCAGAGATTGTGAAAAAGAGGGCCTAAGTTATATATTTTATGAGCTCTTATTAGAATGTATGTATACAGAGATTGATATACTTATTATAACCTAAATAATTAACTTGATTGAAAAGTAACTACCTACTTATATAATTTATTGTGGAGGAGGAGGATTACTTATTCTCCCCACGCTAGGCAGACTGATTGAGGAATAGAATATAACGAACTATACTAATAAATCGATGAAAGCGATCTATCGTCGTCAATCAACAATGAACGGCTGAAACTGACAATCCATCAGACAGACCGTTCTATAATTGATAATAATTATTGTTTACAGAAAACTGTATCTGCCAACCCTAAGATGGTTGTACGCCCAAAGTACAATAGCCTCTATGGTGTTCGGAATTAGCCTTACTTTGGAATATACCCAGAAATGGGGCGATTCGTTATGATTTGGCACAGTTTTGAAGCTTTCGCGGTATGTCAAAACGTCATAAATGATGGCATAACACGCTAAAGTGATTTGGATTAATAATTGGCTAAAAAAACTGTTGAAATGCATTTATATTATTGATGAAACTGACTCTACTTGATATTAATTAAAAAAAACAACTCATATTTTTCTTCTATGGTAGTAAAATCTGAAGTCACAACCCTAGCGTCAACAAAAATAAGGAATAGGTGTCATTTTTTAAACCATAACGATCAGGTCGAATGTATAATAAGCGATCTTCACCAAGGATCCTCAACTAAGTACA